TCTGAGCTGCCTTTGTTCAAATGAGAACACTGTGGCTGGGGAACCACCTCTATCATGGTAGAGCAACTGAACCTAACTGAACCCAGTTAGCTGAACCTGGAGAAAAATAATTACTCACAGAGTGTAGATTTGTACCTGTAGCTTTCTTGGGATGGAAATTCTTATAGACCCTGATTTCAAATCATAAACCGAAAAGCAAGATGGAGAGATGCCTGTTGATAAGTCCTCCCACTACTTCCCACATTTCTTCCCGTACTTATAATACATGACAGATGAAAACAGGCTTATTTCACATAATCACAGAAGCAATTAGATTGGAAAAGACCTCTGAGATCCTTGAGTCAACCTATGACCAAACATCATCATGTCAACTAGACCACATTAAGCATTAAGTACCACATCCAGTCTTCCCTTAAACAGCTCCAAGGATGGCGATTCCACCATCTCTGGGCAGCCCATTCCATTTGTTACCAAAATACTAATTCCTAATTTTTATATTAAAAGAAAAAAATAAAAACCTATTTATAAGATCACTGTTAGCTACATTTTCCTTACCACATGTAATATCACACAGGGCAGAGTATGTCTTCTTAGGGGAAAACAAGCACAAAAAGCATGTGGAAAGCTTAATGTAAAGAAAAATTAAAGCAAAAAGAAAGGGGAGGGAATGGAACTTTAAGAAACCACAGGTGCAAATATATTAAATAGCAGGATACTTGTTCCATAACATATAGCATATTGCAGCAAGAGCCTGAAAATTTGTAAATATGAATGCTGGTGTGTGTTCTATGTCTTGGACTCTTCAAAGAAAGTATTTAACAATGAGTACTTACATGTAGGTATGATGAGAGCTGCTTTACCTAAAATAAGCAAGATCCATCTTGCATTAACAGGTAAGAGAATGTGTATGTGTTCAGTACATAATAAAGCCCCAGTTTTCATCTGGGATGATTTAAAGGAAGATAGCACATAATGTCAGCAGATCATCCAAATGTGGAACAGACTGCCTGCTAAATAAAATCTGTTGGGGCTGCTGAACAAAACTAAGTTAATTTGGCAGGTGGACTCCTAACCCAAGTTGCTCTTAATTCACAGACGCTTTTTGCCAGACGAGGGAGTCTTGCTTACAAGGCATTCACAAGGTACTAGGATGGAATGCAGATTCAAATATGTTTCATTGTTCCTCAGGAAAATTCCCCAAAGGGTGCATTGCACTGGAAAATAACAGAGCATCATGCCATCTGGAAGTTCACAGTAGCATAGATGCAAATAATTAGAGTTCAGAGTTGCAAAAAGAATCCTTCCCTTTTCTCCCACCAGATCGCCACAATTTTGTTTCTTCTAATTCAGCCAGACACCCAAAAACTTGTGAACAAATGCAATGAGCAAGGTCACCCCTGACAACAAGCAGTCCAAGGCTTTTGGGTTATTTTTGCCCCTAGAGCTTCCATCTCAGCCACCCCATTAGAAGCACACAGCCCATCTTCCTTGAGCACAGAGCTCGCAACACCGTACTGAGTGACTCCTTGTCTGCTCATCAGCATGGCCAGAAGGTACAGAAAACTAAATTCACCATCAAAAGCAACCACCTACCTTGCCATGCTGTCCCAGATGAGGATGGAGGCCCAGGTCTTGGCCAGTGTACTTAGAAGTGTACAGCATGTACAGACATGGCAAGAGTGTCTCCAGTGGGAGTATAGCATTGCCTTCTTACTGCACATTTTTAACATATATAGTGCCACTGAAGAGTTTCACATTATGTTTGTATCTAAGGATTTTCCTTCTGACTCCATTAAAGCAGAATTTGGGAGGAAAAAAAAAAAAAGAGGCCTCATGGTGACTTCAATGTTCAATTTAAGACCTTCAGCATAGAGAGATGTTAGTGATTAACATCATCCCAAGAGCTGCACACATGCATATTTGAGCAGCCTGTTTGGTGCAGAGTTCCTTAATGACAATGCCCGTCTCTGCTGTAGCAGTTATGCAATCATTCCTTTAGCCTGTGACCCAATGACAAGCTGCAATGATGTGAATGAATGTGACAGAGTCCATCCACTCTTTTCTTAATTCTTCTGAGATTACTGAGTACAGGCTGGCAGGGTTTCAAAGTAGTAGAACATAACAATTCAGTCCTGGTTTTTCAGATTAAAAATCTTAGTGTGTGGTAGGGAAGACAGAGAAGAGTGATGGGTCAATGGAGCTGGGTTAGATGCAGTTCTTATGAGAAGCCAAACAATTACACTGAACCTTACTTTTAACCAACATTTGAAATACCCAGAAAAATAACTTTGGATTCATTACACTGAAAAATGTGTAAATCATGTTTCTAGTGTGCATGACTGTATATTTAATTAACAGTGGATACAACAGTTATTGTGTGTTAAACAGCAATCTAGAAAGCACTGAAGTTGAAGAACATTACAATAAATAAGTACTGACTTCTGCAATGCTAACTCGTGCACGATTGTAACAGGCTGAAAATGAAAATGTGTCCATTTTCAGCCTCAGAGGCCTTTAATAAACTATCATTCCTCTCTTATTCATTTGCAAGGTCTACTGAAAGTAGCTCCTACTCTTCATTCATTTGACCTGCAATCTCCTTTACCAGTGAGGCTGATGATAACCTAAATCACATTAGTGCTCTTGTAACTCCTTTTTCCTACTTTATACAGAAAGCTCTCACCACTCCCCACCAGATTCGTTACATCCATTCTAAATCCTGTCCAGTGAAGACCAGCCCTGTATTTCAGCAATCAAAGGTCTGCAGGAAAAAAGGGTATGAGAAGTCTTGCTTTTCAAATCTTAATTCTACTGCAGAATGAGAAGAAATAAAAAAATTCAGATTTCTCCACAGCTATGAATCTAATTTAAGTCCAGGGAAATTACCTGGCTGGAATGGGAAAGTAATCAAAAAAAGCGCTAACTATTGCAGTCTCTCTCTTTCTTTTTTTATAAAAGAACAATAGAAAGGCCCATAAAATTGCAGCTTGAAGAGGGGGAAAACAGTACCTCCTTGGATGAGACTTTCAAATAGATCTTAAAACAGTTAAAAACAGTATTAACAACCCTGTTCTGGATATTGCGTGCCCCAAAGAGTGAAAGTAGAGACAAAGCTGAAGAAATTTCCTGAGTCCATGACCAGCATTCTACTTGCTAAACTACCCAACCACTTCTAACTACCACAATATTGTAACTCTGATAAATGGCATTTATTAATGGAAGACCTCAACAGATTAAACTCTCAGAGTGTAACAACAAAGCACAAGTACATCTGACACCAAATCCTATAGAAGACAGCCTCCTTTCCAGCTCTTTTTTTGCATGATATTACATGCAAAAATGAAATACATGTGATACATTTTTCTGTATCACAGCATGACATGAATGAATGCCTTCCAAAAGTGAGTCAAGAAGCAAAGGCAGAAAAAAATGTATTTAGAAATAATGCCACATTTTTGCAGGTCACATCTTGAAAATAAATATCCTTTTAGACTACACATATCTCACAACAACCTTTCCACAGCCCCTAACCTACCAGCATGCTGTTTATTTAAGTACTACTGAAAACCACCTGTGCTCAAAGCAGTCATTCTATCACCACATCCTTTCTCCAGGATAAACATGAAAAAGCCTACACAGCACAACCTCATCTCATGAGGTGAGTAGTCATACAGTAATGTTTCTCCATTTTGGAGACACAGCCTTCTATCTTACCCAAAGAAGAGTAAGCCAAGTTTTCCAGGTACATGTATGCTACCAATTCAGCATTCCCTCCCCTGAAACCACTTCTGCCCTGTACAAAAGTAAACAGCACAATGTAAATGGTCAGATTTAGGAACAGGTCTATCAATCGAGGGAAGCTTCATTAGAATCATTCAGAGCTTCACAGAACATCCATTTTCACAGAATTCCATCGTATTGGTTGACCAAAAACACTTTCTCTGAGTACCCAGATATTTGGGGAGTTCTCTTCAATGATTTAAGATAAACTGTGAGTTACACTGGGAGGACTACTTAGAATTCCCATTAAGGACAATGTAGCTGCATCAAAAACCCATTTTACTATATTGCTTCTCTCCCGTTTTTCTTTTCAACACCACACCACTGGCACAGCATTGCAAAATATTGTTACTATGCTTTTCAGGACATGGATATGTCCTAAAGGGTCTGTCATTGATTGCTCCGAATAATACCTTTTAACTGCGAAGGAAAAGACATAATAGGAATAAAGAGGTCAGCTATTAAAAAAAAAATTCTTAAAATACTTTAAAATCTAATTATTTTATGAAGAAGATCACAGAGATGTCCCTTTCTATGAGTTGTGAGGTTGTCCTGTGAAGTACTTTGCCATTATTTGCCAGACACCATTTCTAATAATCAAACTTTCTGGACTTTTCATCCCATATTCTGCATGGTGACTTCATGCTAACATTGTTTTGACATAAATTTTCTGATATATTACTGATTCTTTGCCAGCTAAGAGGCAACTTTCTGAGAGTGAAACTGAATATTGAGCAACACTAACACCATTCTGCAGCATGGAATTTGTTTTTCAAAAAAGGACAAGCAATTTAAAAAGAAGAAAATATGAAAGTGTTTCTTACATTAGTTTTAATAAGTTATTTTTGTTTCTGGTGTAGCAGATATGGAAAAACCAGTTAACTGTGACCGTAGAAGTCAGGAAGAACTGCTGTTAGACAATTCCATTCTCTGCACAGGTTCTCAAAGAAAGTATTTTCAGATGATAGAAAATGCAATAGAGGGCAATAAGCATAAAAGAAAAAAAACATACAAATGTGTCTTACTTTAGATTGAAGGGCATCACAGGAGAAACTCACACTGATTTATCCTACTTTCATGGAGCTATGGACATAAATAGTGAAAGAACAAGCAGAGCTCCATCACCTGTTCCATGCAGCTAGGGAGAGTTGGAGCTTGCAGTGACAAAACCACTGTGATGCAAATCATTTAACAGTAGAGAAGCTGAGAAGTACAGACAATTACTCAGGGAGGTGACTCGGCTCCCTGGGGTTGGGTCTCTATTTGAAAGCCTTCCTTCTGAATACAACTTGCAGGGAATGAAATGACTCTGTTTTGAAGAAAGGTAGAGACCATGGTTCTCTTCAAGCATAACCCACAATCTTCTTGATGGAAGAACTTTCATGCTAAGTTCACTACAAGTTTTAGCTTTAAACAAACCCTCAAAAAGGCTTCTGAAAGCAAAACGGTTTTCTATTCTTTTTGGTATTCTTCCTCACTACAGAAATCTTCACACCTTTGTCAGGAACAGCCAGACACACCACAGCCATTCTTTTGGGTAGAAACAAAAGTACGGAAGATTAATTGGCCACCTTCAGGCACTAAAAGAGATGAGCATTTGAAATAAACATAAGGGTAAGAAAATGAGAAGTAATTAACCTTTCTGGCTCATCTTTCTCCCTGTGCTTGCAACCTGGCATGCAGTTTTGTCACATCAATGAGAAAATATCTGATACAGGTACTGGTACTTCCATCAGCCCAGCATTCTTCAGTGTTCTCTATGTGATGAAAATAAAGCACATTCCTCCTTCTGAACCATCACCAGCATGGAGGTGAGAATAGAGATTATTTCCAAAAGGTAAAAACCATTAAAAAATGAACTCTTCATCAAAGCAAAAGGTTTTTTGTCACATTTAAGTAACTGGTACAGGTATGTATCATTGAAAAGTGTTCTGCAATAGCCATTTTTGAACCAATATCCTCTATATGAGGTAACAGCATGTTCGGCAATGGGGGACTCGGCTTTTTATCCCACCCATCGCCTCATTTTTTTAATTCTAAATCAGTCATAAATGTCTGATTCACTGCAGGAGTAGATGAGATCACTAAAAGTGTTTTGTGAGTTTTGAGAAATGTGATGAAGACTTATTCAGGAACAGGCTTGCAATGAAAACTAAGTTTTCACTATTATTTAAATCATAGAAAAAGAGGGGGAGGGGAAAACCAAACAAAAAAAGCCCAAGGAAATTCTGCACTTTTCTAAGCATAATATTGAAAATGCAGTCCTACTGTATAATCATCTGGTTTACTAACCTTGCATTTTATTTTTCCATGATGTCAACAGAAGACTCAGTTCAGTAGAAAGTACTTAACATATGGCCAATGCTTGTTCTAACTAAAAATACAAGAAAGAAAGAAAAGCAACAAACTTCATGTCACATTGCTGTGCTGAGAGTACAATCCACTGCACAGCCCCTGTTTTCATACAAATAGACAAAGAATTTCTCAGCCTGATACTGTTATCTTCAGTACATGGGCTGGGGAGGCATAACCACAGCTGGACAAGTGTCCTCTTGGACATTCAGCAAAAGGAATAGGACAGCAGAGTTAGTTGGAATAATTAGCAGCTGTGGGTTAAGATCAAGAACTTCCTAGTACTGAAGCAGTTTTCTTGGAATAGGAGGTCAAAAAGACACCTGTAAATAGCCTTCCAGTCCTTTAACAAGCAAGGACTAAAATTTTTCTAACAACTCAACTGAAACTCACTTGTCTAAATTATTTTAAACTCTACTCCTATTATACTGTGAGGGAAGTAGAACCTCCTATGGGTGTTTTCAGAGTTCACAACAGAGAAGAATCCTTTTTTCTTTAGTATCCTTTTTATCTTAGGTAACAATGACGCATTGTGAAGTGCATACAGTGATGAAGACCATAGAATTTCACATACATCCAGACTCCTTCCTCTTTTACTCCCACCCACTTCCCGCACCACACCCCAGAGTGACAGTCTTTTTCAATTTGTCATATGAAAGCCTGTCAAATGAAAATTTATTCTCCATCACCATACAATCTCCACTGATGAATGATCAAGAATCTCTACCAATTTACACAGATAAAGACTTCAGAAAAATACAAGAGCTTTTCAAACTAACAAAGACTTGACTGATTTGAGTTGCACATAATCTCTAGTCATCTCGAGCTTTAGTTTTCCTGTGCAAACCGAGTCAGTGATGCTCTCCTGGAGATCACAGCCACTCATCTTGCATGCCTTGTTCACTTCCTGCATCACACACACACAAGGGGAAGATCAGTGCTGTGCCCACAGTGGAAAAACAACTAGTGAAAGCAAGACTGCCAAGCTTTAAAAAGAACCTTGAAGAGAACCTTGGCAGAACAAACTATATTAAAAAAGGTGCTTTTTTTTTTTGTTTGTTTGGTTTTGTTTTTTTTTTTTTGTTATAGGTCAGTAGTTTGAATTCTGTCCAACAAAGGTTGCTATCTGATGCCTGATCTTGAGGTGCTAAATGATTTCAACCCTGACAGCAGAATCTCACCAGCTTTGCTCTCTGGGGGCTACTCTGCCATGTCTGGAAGGGGTGATTGCATTTAGCTGCTCGGAGCACAGGCCCACAGAAAAACATCCTCATTAGAGCTGTCACCTTTATACCCAGCTCTCCACAGAGAAGCTAAAGACTCCAGCACACAGGTGACCTCATCTCTCCTGCAGCAATTCACCGAGGACTGAGGCAGCCCATGGACCAAACTTGGAGATTACAAACTGTATCTGGATCCACAGGTTACAATTTTCCCTTTGGCTAATCAAGACTTTTTTACATAACGCAATAAAAACTAATAAAGCAAAAAATTAAAAAGTAGCACCTTCTAAGTAAAAGGAAATAGGGCTAATGGACCTAATAATTGTGAAGAACACACCAGATTTCGTTGCTGCAAGTGACAACAGGAGTTTCTGTTAAACCAAAAGAAGTAAGCAAAAGGCAAGAATTCCAAGTCTGATGGAGCTGAAGCATTTAATCCCATGTTAATATACTGCTAATATTTTTCAATACATGACATCCAACAGAGGCAATATTCATCCTAACATCTCTAACAATCCTAATCCCTGAAAGATTCACAGATTTTAACAAGGTTTGTTTACCCCAATGCTTCATTCTGGTCCACTGCTCCAACCCCAGATTTTAAAAACATAAATACTATTCTCAGCTCCAAGGAAAAGGAAAAAACAACAACAACAAACCACATTCAGTATTGTTCCATTTACAGGTTACAGCTTTAGCATCCTAAACCCCCATGCAATTAGAGATGGGAACTGCCCAATAAACAGCAAAGCTTGCATCTCGCTCCGGAAGGTCCCCAGATAGATGATTTACAATCTGTAACATTTTTATAGATCATAAGGCTGGTTTACATTGCCTTTATGAGATGTTTTAAAATTTATAAGTTTTCATTTTCCCCTCCCTTGGAGTCCAGTTATTAGTGAAGAGAGGTTTTATAGGTAGCAGGGAAGAAGGAAATGATCAGATTAAATAAAAAAAGAAAAAAAAACCAGAAAAAAATCTGCAGAATATTTCAACTCCATTCTATAAAGGAATGTGGAATAAACTAGTTTGGTAGGACAGTGTTTAATTTTTTAAGGTACATTTGGACACTTTCAAATCCATTTATAGCCTACTGAATATGGCATCAACATTATAATTTATTCTAAGTTCAAAAAGAACAACTTTAGAACAAACATTTTATTTATAAAATAGATTTTAATTGGTAAGAAAAACTGTGGAATTAGAAATTCCACAAAAAAGTCAAACCTAGAGAATCAAATTTTAATCCAATAAATTACTACTCACTTTTGCTATCATGCAGAGAAAAAATTGTGACTTAAAACCCCAACATACAAACCTAGAATACCTTTGTTCCAATACTTTGAATGGTTTCTCTCTAATTCTCCTCTTTCATTTGTATTTAAAATACTTGAACTAAGTGGCTAAGGTTATTTACAGGGAAGAGAGGACAAATACCAATGAAGAACTTCAAATAAATATATTTTATACTTCTTCATGAGAATAAAGTGCAGCTACAGAGATTCAATTCTGATCAAACCAGCTCTAAGCTACACAGATAGGTTAGGATCTGAATCATACATTTTCCTCAGAGGGCTTTAGAATTCTTTTAATAAATATTTTACTGTTAATAACATGTAGTCTCCAGATCGTTTTAAGATACTTATCTTGAAGAACAAAAATTCATAGTTGAAAATTATGCTTTTATCATATTAACAACCTTTTTTTAAAAAATCTTATCTACCTTTTATCACGAAGGTATTCACTTCTGTTTTGTACAGCATTCATCTCTATCTTTAAAAAGACCAGCAGAAAAAGTGTAAGGAAACTAAAAATACCTTGCTTTAAATAGGTGAAATAGCACTTTGTGCAGTTATCTTTAAAAAAAAAGCTTTAGTATTATATTTATCTTTCAAGAAAAAAGAACTTAAGAACTATTTTTCAGTAAGATGCAGACAATCATCAGAAGGTGTACATTCAAATTAAATTGAATAGCTTCATCCATGTCATATAATCCTAATCAAGCACAGTAGTTCTAAAAGATTTTCCCAACAAGAGAAAATATGCAGCATTTGAAAAAAATCCTACACTACATAAAAATGTCATTGAATTCTTAATTTCAGCAATAAACCATTAACATTCCCATAAATGGAGTTTTGTGGCAAATGCAAGAGCAGAAAGCTGAACCAACTTTCATACAAGCAAACGTGTTCCCAGAAGAGCAGTCACTTCCTATAACACAAAATTTTGAATAAAATGTTTCCAATTTAGTGATATTTTTAAGCAAAAAAAATAAACAGAAGAGAAGCCAAATGTCTGATAAATATGTTAACAACCACTGTTAAAACAAACAAACAAACAAAACTTTAAAAAAATGAAATCAAACCAACAGAAAGCAAACAAGCATACAAAGGTCCTGACATACCCAGGTAAGTAACAAAAATGCTGAAAAGAACAATTAGCAAAGGACAAATATTTACAAGGTAGCCAAACACAGCTTTCCACTCACACAGAAACTGGCAGTTGCAATTTTATTTAGAAATTCAAGGGCTGTTTTCCAAACAAGTCTGTGTCTCAGTTTCATTAATCCATAGGTCAACCAAAGTGGCCTGGCATAGGCACCTCAAGCCAATCTCCACACCTTCTGGCTCAAAAAAACAAAAAAGAGCCCACTCTTCCCTCTCCAGTTCATATTACCAGCAGGTTTAAGAGAGAACTTTTGAGTTGAGTTTAATTTGGGGAAAAATTCAAAATGTCAGTTTTGGCTGCAAAAGCCCAGTAGTACTTGCTAATTTCCCCACCCTCTTCTATCACCCTTCTTTCTACCTGTCTCTCCTCTTCTCAGAAAGCTTCACAAGGATGTTTAGACAAAGAGACAAACATTGAGCTCAGAGACATGTCTGAGCCTCTTGATGTCACACAAGGTCATGACTTGCATGCCTGCTCAGCAGCTGGACAAATACCACGTGGACTATCCAGGAAGACATTGTGCATGAGGATTTCAATCTACCAAAACATGTTTCATCATTCAGTTTAAAGAAGTGAAGTAGGGTTTAAGCTCATAAACCTGTAAAGTCATTACCAAAGGGCCCAATTTCTATTGTTTACATTCCTTGACCAAAGATGACAAGCACCTTTCACAGGTTGTTCACTGCCTTATCAAAAGGCATTAATACAATTGTAATAATCACGCAGTCAGATATCAGCATGTTCTGTCTGAAGCATTACAAGCATTTTTCAGAATTTTAGTCTGAGTGCATAATTTTGCAAAGCCAGAGTCTTCTCCTGAGGGACCACATAAACATAATTCTGGTGGTACCCAAAAACCCCTTGGACCAGACCAACTGGCAAACTTTAGTATTGGGTTGGCTCCCCTGCACAATTCCTGTCAGATCTGTCAGCTGAAAACCTGGAAACAGCAGTTCATCAATATTCACTCCCCAAGAGCACAGGAGTTTCACGGTGCACTACAACCTAGCTTCCAATGCTATCTAAGACTGACAGGCATTGCACATAAGGCAAATCTAAGTACAGTTGCAGGCACTTTGAACACATCAGTTCACAGCGTGGAGCAGCTGGGTGTTTTACATTCAGCTCTGTTCAGCTCATGGGTACTTTATCAAACAATCCAGCATCCAAGATTCCAGCACTCCAAAACATTTGTAATCTGCCTCATGTATTGTTCCATGAAACAATAAAGAGCTCAATATCTCTCCCACTGCTTTATGAGGTTAGCCTTTCTCTCCCTTGAATAATACATCACTACTACTAAAATGTGTATTCCTCAAGTTACTTCCAAAAATGTTAAAAAACCTCCTTCTCCTCAAACCCAGTCCACTACAAAATCAGTAGTAAATCATCTTTATTATAGATGCAGACTATTTTTCCAGCTACATTTCCCTTCCATGTTTTGCTCATGGTTTAACTAATATCACAGAATCCCATGCCTCCCTGGGCAGCTGTTCCAGTGCTTTGCCACCATAAAGTTCTTCCTATGTCATTCAACATCAAATGCCACAAAAGGATACTCCCACCCCCATTTAGCTCCATGCAAACTAACACACAGTTTAAACAGAAAAGAGTTGGAAGAAGCTGGTACCAGCAACACCAAACTTTGAAGTAATCTAGGAAAAACTTTTGAAGTAGAGCTTTTATTTCTTCAAGTAATAGCTTGCTTAGTTGTTCTAAAATTAATTTAGCAAGATGATCAAATGAAAACCTTAATTAACTGAAGTTATTCTCTCTTTAGGAATCAGATTTTGTGATCCACCTACAACTTTAACAAAACACGCTTTCTAAAATTTATTTTTCCGACAGCAAGAGCAGGAGAGTGGAGTATAACAATATTTCTGTAAGTAGGAAAACTAGTCAGAGTCATTTCCAATGGATTTTTGCCCTAACAGGAGCCAACTCTGGAATCTGAAGCATCAACTATTTCAGGAACTACAATGATTTCCATGGCCAAGAAGCAAATAAGACTGTTCGTGTGCTGTTGAAATTCTGTTGTGGTAAAAACAGGGAAGCACCTGCTCCAAGCACAGGGCCTCCTTCACAGCAGGGAATCCTAACAGGATCTCTTCCTTTCCTAATCCAAAACAGCTCTCTTCCTTGCTCTTCTGTCAAGTTCAGCTGAAATTAAACCAGACTACTAGAGAAGAGGAAATACACATGTAAACACAAATTTCCCTTGGAAAACGATGGTAAAAGTAATATGAAAAGTTTTTGTTAGTTAGAATTAGCATAATTCACAGCATGAGTTTCCATTTTATAATTACACTATGTTGTGTATGCTACAAGTTCTCAAAGTAGTCTTAAACTTCACATTTTTGGAAATATCTGTGTATGTATGCTTAAACATAAATATATATATATGCACATATAAAAGCCAGAAGGAGTTATACTATTCCCCCTTTTTGGCTACTCAGCATTATTTAACCTCTGAAAAAAATATAAGCCTGAAAACACTCTGAGCTTTCCAGTCATCTCATGAAAGAAAAAGTTTTCAAAAAAAAAAAAAAAAAGAAATCCAGAAACAACTCTGTTAAAGAAAGTAATTCAGATTGAATAAAGGTGCCCACAAATCGCTGCTCTCTGGTTTACTTCCTTAATAATTGCATCCTATGTTATGAGATAAAAAATTTACTTCTGCATAAAAAATGCATCATTTATGACAAGACTTTATTGTAACTTCTGGTGAGGAAACATAGTTTTATATTTCAATTGACAGTACTTTCATCTAGGGC